GGACGGGGAATGGGGAACGTAGGGAATGGTGGGGCGAGGGGGGGGGAATAGGGGCGGGGGAGGTCTGCCCGATTCTATAAACCACAACTTTGTAGTTTGTACACTCTAAAAACACTCTGGTTAAATTCAACCAGGAACTGGATCAATAAACTACCTAGCACATTCCTGGTTAAGTTAACTGATTTCCTGGTTAAAAATTATTGATTCAACAAAAATCTGGCCATACTTCTTTGGACTTTTAACCAGGAAAATGGTATAATTTTTTTAACCAGGATTGTGTAGGTGGATTTTTAACCCCATCCTGGTTGAATTAACCCAAATTTAACCAGAGTGTTTTTAGAGTGTACAACATCTACTTTTAGGTATTCTACCTAGATAGTTAGATACATGACACAAACCATAGGCTTCACATATTTCACGGCATGGTTTGCTTTCAAAACCCTGTGAGCATGCACATAACCTAACTTCCTCTATACTTAAATAGTACTAGGTGATAAACTTACAATCCTCACCTAGCCTCAATCACAACATGTGGCTAGGCAAATATACAAACTACACAGTTAACTTATATCGTGACGACATACGACAGTTCCGAGACCGAAAAACAGGACAACAGGGCCTTTTTTAAGGATTTTCCAGTGGGGGGAATTTTTTGAAAAGGGATCTTTCTGTCAGATAATATATTAGAGGGGGATAGCAATGGCCGACGGCCACGTGTTTGGCCGACATTCTCCCCCAGAAAATGTTTTAAATTTGAACCTTTCAAATGCCATTTCCTGCTTTATGAGCATCTAAATTTGCTCTAAAATTTATGCTAATTATACTTGTATTTGAAATAAAAGGAAAAAAATGCAGAAAAAATAAAAGAAATATTAACAATAATTTATCCATTACTTATTATTAAAGGGGGATAGTAATGGCCGTGGGTCATGTGTGTGGCCGACATACCGTGAATGAATAGGGGTGTCTGGGGGCATACTTCCGCAGAAAATTTTTGAAATTTGCAGCCCAAAAATGCCATTAGTTCCTACCGTCTGAGCATCTAAATTTGCTCTAAAATTTATCCTAACTATACTTCTATTTGAAATAAAAGAATGAAAAAACGCACAAAGAATTTTAAAAATATTAACAATAATTTATCATAAACTTAGTGTTAGAAACACGTAGGATGCGCACGCGGTGACACAGTCCTTTAAATCGATTTTGTTAAACAAGGACAAAGGATAAAGCCTAAAACTTACGTTCCGTTTATCAATTTGTTATTCTTCGCTGGTTTGTTTGTCTAAATTTAGGAAAAAGGGACTTTTTCTGGGGGGGGATGCAAAATGTGATTTCGTGGGGGGGGCACAAGGAGGGACTGGGGGGGTCAAATGCCCCCCCCCCAGCTTATATGTTAAAAAAGGCCCTGTAGGACAAATCCAGTTTTCAAGTGAGCCTCAGAACGTGCACTTTCAATTCCGACCAGCCTGCATCAGAGCAAAGTATCCAAGCTTTCTTGGCGACGTTCTCGTTCCTCCAGACTTTCCTTCCCTTTTCAAGGTGAAGCACGTCCAAAGGCTTGCAGGAGAGTTCGGCTGGGTCCTTTAGAAACGTACTTGCCAACTTAAATTGCTAGCTTAAAATCTGCGTATTTTGAAGTATTTTGTGTTTCGTTAGTTTTGCTTTGTAAGATATTTAAAATAGGATAATCACTTTAAGATATCATATGGAGCATAAGGACTGCCTTGGACTTGCATCTAGTCCTTAAGTTTGTTTTATTATATAGCAAGTATATTAGTAATGACATAAGCAATATTATTAATAATATTACTTAATGATCGGACATAAGCAATGTGGATTGACCTTTTTATGATACGCTGTACTAATAAAGGAAAGCTTCGCTAAATTTCTTTACTAGTTTTAATTCATTGAGCGGTTTTCTAATTCCCAAGACACCAGAGTCCGTTTTATAGTTTCGTAATCCCCGATTGCCGTTTATCCTGTCGAATTTCTGTTTCTTTTTTCTGTTCTTTTCCCCCCCGTACATATGATTAATATTACGTATTATAAAATAACATGTATATAACGCGTATTCTGATTGGTCGAAAGCCGTGTTTGGATCAGGCCATCCAAACACGGAAGACTACCGTGTTGTTGTTATTTTCAAAACAATTACTTTATGGTTTCCGTGTTTGGATGGACTGATCCAAACACTTGGGAATGTTGCTCGAGTTAAGAAAAGCGGGCAAAATCACTCGCCTTCGGCTCGTGCTTTCGCTCGCTTTTCTTAACTCTCGCAACATTCCCGCGTGTTTGGATCAGGCCATCCAAACACGGAAACCATAAAGTAATTGTATATTAATAATAATTCATAATTCCCCTGTCCCTCGTTCCCGCATTCCCCGTTCTCCCATTCCCCGTTCCTCCATTGCCCGTCCCCCCATTTCCCCAATTGCCCGTTCCCCCATTCCACGTTTTTCGACAGAGAAGACGATCTTTTTGCCTGTATTCAATCTACAAACACTAAAAACAAGTTTACTACTCGTATTTTACTCGTATGTACTCGTATTCTACTCGTATTCTACTCGTATGTACTTGTGTTTTACTCGTATGTACTCGTGTGTTACTCGTATGTTACTCGTATGTACTCGTATGTTACTCGTATGTACTCGTGTGGTGTTTTAGTTACGATCTCAAAAAACACACTTGTCACTGGACTCACTGCACTTCTCAAAGGGGCTCAAAGAGTCTCAAAACAGTGATCGTGAATGGAATTTGTTTATTAAAGGATTAAATTCATTTCTTTAAGCTCTTCCGATCTATATTACATATAATGAATTTCCTGTATCTTATAAGCAATATCCATGCAGAATACTGGACCTCCCCATCCTGTCCAGTCAAGCAGAAAATATTTTGTAATCAATCAAAATTTGATGGATTTGTCCTTGGCATATGACATTGATTCCACAAATTTTCGTATTAAATGTTAATGATAATTTATCTTATTTCTGACATACAAATCGACAAATAAAAAAGGGCACGACGTCACAAAAACCTAGGAATGCCTCCCTGGCGGACCCCGAGCTAAGAAAGTTCACAGGAGGCAGGAAGTGTCTCATATTCGCATATCAAGCTTCAATTACTATCAAAACCGGAAGAACTTTGCACAATACAAAATAACGCACCATATTACAGCGTTTGGTGGCCAATTTACTGGAATATTCCTTAAGCATGCAGGTATGAAACTATGTAATATTATAATAGACTTTTGAGTTATTCATTATTGACTAAATATTGGTATTATTCGTATATGAAACCGTATTTATTTGCATTAAAGGTCATTGCAATTAAATATCCCCCTTCTTTGTCTCTGATTTGTGTACTAAGCACTAAGTTATGTAATCTCAATGAAATTTAGAATATGTGTATTTTAGAACACAGTGGCATTCGAAAAGCTCTCCTACTGACTTCATTCCAAGAACAACTGCACGGAAACACGCAAGTACAAAGACAAAGTAGGTTTCTCACAGTAACCTGAAGTTCAGGCCATTCTCACAGTGGCGGCGGAACAGGTGTTATTTTAATTAAGAGGAGGAGTGGGGAGCTAGCTTCCATAAATTGTCCAACATATAAAAATCATTTTCCGGACTAACCGATATTTCCGATTTCATGTCTTTAATTTTCTACATTTGCCTATAATTTTTATATATAAACTTCAAAATTCAGTCTAATTCTATCCATTTTTGAATTTGCGTGCGCCATATGCCTATGATGAAACGGCAATCGCCGTGAAATAAAATACCGGTATTATGAATATCGTATTATGAATCCAAAGAATATGCTTGAAACAGAGACATATCAAAGACATTATACATTTAGCAAGGTGTTCGACATAGCTACTTCACTCTTTATGAGGGATATTAATTTTTATTTCCAATAACAATATTGCGCCTTCAAGGACAAAGGCCATAGATTTTTTGATTACTCAGTGCAGAAAAAGTCGAGATCTTATAATTTTCAGCTCTCGGCTAGTAATGGTTTTAGATACACCTCCGAAGTTAATGATTTTCTATAGAGCAATAAAATCTGATGTTTCGCGAAAAATATTTCTTAATTAACTGTCTTTTTCTTTTTCGTATGTAGGTTTAACTGTATAGCTACATACTTTCATAAGATGGCTGGCTTTGGTTTTCTAATTTTATTTGGTTTCAGTTGTTTGTTGTTTCCATGTGAAGGTACCCTTACAAAAATTCCACATGATTTCACATGTGTGAAATCTCACATGT